GGAGCTCAACTAGAGTGACCATCAGGTTCTTGGTCACCACACTAACCAAAGCCCTTCTCCATCAATTGCACAGTTTGGCCAGAAGGCCAGCTCTAGGAAGAGTCCTGGTTGTATCAAACTTCTTCCATTAAGGGTAACAGAGACTACATGCTTCTGTGACCCTTCAATGAAGCAGATTTTTTTTTTTTCTGAACTCTTCCCCAGATGTGTGGCTTGACACAAACCTGTTTCTGAGCTCTACAGTCAGTTCTTTTGAACTCAGTGCTTGGTGTTTGCTCTGATATGCATTATCAGCTGTTAGACCTTTAATTAAATGTGTGTGCCTTTCCAAATCATACCCATTAAATTGAAATTGCCACAGGTTAACTTCACTCAAAGTGTAGTAACATCTACAAGTAATATGAATGCTCCTGAGCTAAATTGCAACTGTCCCAGATATATTATATATATATAAGGTGAATGGCTTCTACGCTTCATCTGAACCTCTGTTCTGGGAGTATGTAAATTTGGTTAACAGGTATGAAATCCCATGAACAGGGCAGATTGCTTTACGGCAATGGTCTCATTTTCATTTACAGAAAATTAAATATGGTGGCTGTGTAAGGGAGGCCAGCTGGCATAATCTGTGCAGGTAAACCTCACTCTCATCTCTTCAAGAGAGTTACATCTGTTACATCTTAAGGTCTGTAAAGCTTCATTTAGGACATTACAGCATGATTGCGTAATGTCTGTGAATTACTACAAGACACTTGAAGCAGTATGCATGGGTGAACTGTGTACTCATATAGGCCAAGCCATTATGATGTCATTGTTATAAATTGCTGAATTACATAACATGCTCTAAAAACCCTTTCAGGTATGTGCTTTGTAAAAGGTAATAAATAATTAGTTACAAATGTAGTCTGTCTTTGTGTTTTGCACTTTATAAACTTTGTGTTGATAAACTTCATAAAACCTTACTTTAAGCTCTTCTATAACTAAATAGGACTTCATACACTCACACACATACTGTGTATGTATGTATATATATATATATATATATATATATATATAATGAAATAATGCGAAATCAAGTTTCATGACCAAAAAAAACTTTTAGATAAACATGTCCCTAGTTCACAACCCACTGGCAGTTTTGTCTAAAAGGTAATGGTATAAAATGTATATAAAACACTGAAATGTTGAGTAGGCTCTTACCCATATGTGACATGGACACAGAGGGTCCTGCGCTCTGCTGAGTCTGTTGTGTCACGAGCTGATTCATTGAGGGAAGCTTGCTGATGGGCCCGTGGATCTTATTCATGTTATTGTGTGTGCCATATGGAGATGGAGAGGCAACATAACTCCTGTCAATCACATGAGAGGCATATAATTAATATACAGCCCACGATGTGGAAAACTAAAGAACTGGATGCTAAAGAATGAGCTGAAAGAGGCCATATCATGCACAGCTGAATATGCTTTCCTCTTGTGAAAAAAAGCTAACACACGCTGTTATGTGGACATACTCTAACATTCATATTGCAAAGCCCCCTCCTCAGTTTACCAAGCCTTTTACTGAAACAAAGCTGGCTTTTATAAGTTATGACAGTTATGATATTACAGTGAACACTGTAACACATGACTCATGTGGTCCATGTGTACTTCTTCTCAAGACCTGTATTCAGCAATTTGGCAGGTATGATACTACCAGTGTTGGGGAAAGTTACTTTTAAAAGTAATGCATTACAGTAATGCGTTACTCCATAAAAAATAACTGTGTTACTTAGTTACTTTTTTATGGAAAGTAATGCATTACATTACTTTTGCTTTACTTTTTTGTCACCTGGGCTGGGCTTACTTATTTGTTTTTTAATAACAAAAAACCCAAAAGTTATATTTTTGGCAACTGTAAAAGCCCTTTCACACCAAAAGTGAAATGAATAAGCCTCAAGCTGAAGGAAATGCCTCTGCACTCACTTCTGATTTCTCTCAACACAGGGACCGGAGAGGAGTCAGGGAATAAATGGGAAAAAGTAACTGGCGTTACTTATTTGAAAAAGTAACTCAGATATTTCATTGTAAATTTAGAAGTAATGCGTTACTTTACTAGTTACTTGAAAAAAGTAATCTGATTACGTAACTCGCGTTTCGTGTAATGCATTACCCCCAACACTGGATGCTACTAATTTTACATGCAAAGATGTTAGCCAATCATAACAGAGGTAATTTACATATATAATTCTTAGTTACCATATCAAAATATATAATAAATAAAAGTAATTTTGGTAACACTTTACAATAAGATGTCATTTGTTAAGATTTGTTAATGTATTAACTAACATGAACTAACAACGAACAATACATTTATTACAGTATTTATTAATCTTTATTAATGTTAGTTAATGAAAATAGCTATTCATTGTTAGTTCATGTTAATTCAAAGTGCATTAACTAATGTTAAAAAATACAATGTTTGATTTTAATAATTTATTAGTAAATGTTAAAATTAACATTAACTACTGTTAACTAATGAACTTATTGTAAAGTGTTACAGTAATTATTGTATATATGCACTACTGTTAAAACATCTGGGATCAGTACAATTTGTTTTTTAAATAAATATCTTATATTCATTAAGGCTGCACTTATTTAATCAAAAATGTAGTAAAAACACAAATATTGTGAAATATTATTACAATTTAAAATAACTGTTTTCTATGTGAATATATACACACACACACACACACACACACACACACACACACACATTAAAAGAAATCAAACTGCATGCTTCCACACTCACTGGAATATAATACATCTCCTCTTCTCCATGTCGCCTCTTCTTGATGTTGATGCAAGGGCCTGTAATATTGGCTGGAGTCTGCTTGAAATCTGTGAGATCAGAAACAGAAGCTCCAGTTAGAACCAGCGATGACATGATATGAAGAAGGTTCAGAGTCCTTGTTGAAATACATTGGCTCACTTCGTTTATTGGCATTTCCATTTTTGGCCACGCTCTCATTTAGTGCCTGTTGCTCCCTGAAATGATCCTCGTCTGCTTTGCGGTCTCGACCGGGACAGGCACAAATCCGGCCTTCAAACGAACGCCTGCCGAGAACCTGTCCACTGAGGAAAAACACGGAAGACTTCAGCTTTAACTTCACACTCAGCCTGTGTCATGCTCATAAGTTGCATGTTGTTGACATATGTTGACGTATGGTTTTAGTTAACAGTTAAAACCATACATTTCAATGCTCAGTTCTAAGCACATTTTTGTTTACTTTTGTTGTTCTGAAGCAAAACCATTTAAAGGGATAGTTCATGCTAAATTAAAATTCTGTCATCCTTTACTCATCCTCAAGTTGTTCCAAACCTGTATGAGCTTCTTTCTTCAAGATATTCTGAAGAATGTGTGAAACTAAACCATTAATGGTCCCCATTGACTTCCACAGTATTATTTATTCTTTTTCCATACGATGGAAGTCAATGGCTACCAGCAACAATCTGGTTACACACATTCTTCTTTTGTGTTCAGCAGAAGAAAAAAACAGGTTTGGAACAACTTGAGAGTAAATAAATGAAGACAGAATTTTCATTTTTGGGTGAACTGTCCCTTTAAGAACCACCTATTTGGAAGCGGGGGAAATTTTCAGTGTATTTTTTTTGCTGAAGACACACTTGTCTGAATGAAAGAAAGAAAGTAAAGGTGCTCACTCACTCTCGTGTCTCCAGCGTGATGATGATGAGGATGGGCCTGCGGTTCATTCCACCGACACAACTGCTGTTGCACATGAAATTATACAGAATCGTTGTGAACTCGGTGCCCACCTTGAGAAACAGATAAAAAGAGAGAGACAAATTCAGTTTCCAGAAGCATTACATTATATTGCAAATATAGCATATAGTACCCTGTTCAGGGAAAAATATTTGCATTCAGAAGTTCACTTAACACTAAATTAATTTAGGTTCATTCAGAAACACTGAAATTAACCAGTTAAAAAAAATAGTAACACTTTACAATAATGGTCCATTTGTTAAAGGAACATGCCGCTATTTTTGAAAATAGGCTAATTTTCCAACTGCGCCTGCTGCACCCATGGTATGGCAGCAAAGTATATGTGTGTGCACTGTGTATATTTATTATGTATATATAAATACACAAACATACATATTTACGTATATATATATATATATATATAATCAATATAATCAAATATAATTTATATTATATATAAATATTAATATTTTATATATAAGCAAATCATTTTTCTTAAATATATACATCCATGTGTGTGTATTTATATTAAGGCTGGGCGATATAGCTAAAAAATGTATCAGCGATATAATGTTTCATATAGTTCGGTATCAGTAATTATTGAAATTGTTTTATAACCCTTTTTAAAACAAAGATTTTATTTATTACTTAGTTATTACTTATTTACCCAATTTATTAAGACAACAAATATTTTTTGTTTTGTTTTAACAGTCAAACACAAAATAAAATATAAACAAATATCTCCTTTCTTATGTTTTATATGCCGATTAAATAAGTCTTAAGGAAACTTTTGTCTTGTTTCCCGAGGCCACAGGAGGGTGCAGTGAGCAAAATAATGCAGCGCATTAAATTGTTTATTCAGTGCAATTAAATAACAACTGTCTATAAAAAAACGTGCATAACGTCTAAATTAACATATATAAATCAAATATAATTTCGTAAGTTGCATAATACATATATGAACAAAACAGCATCATGTATTTATGCATTGTTTAATACAAATAGCCGAAGCGCCATTCACACAGATTGCATTTAAAAACATAAGAGACGCAGTGAAATGGAAGAAACCTTCACAGATTTGCGACGTTTTTTCTAAAAGTTTAAACTGTTTTAACTTTGCATGGCTATATCTTGTGTGACACGAGTGCAGCAGTCATTTTTGTCCATCTAAAAAATGCGCTGAATATGTGTTCTGTGTGAATGGCTTGGTTTCAGTTTTAACCTAATTAAGATCTTGTCCGCATTGAGCTTCTATATTTCTCTAATATTTTGAATGCATAACGCAGCAGCGGCGCATCTTGTTGGCACAGCACTCATTTCAGCATGTGTTCGTGTTTGTGTGTCTGTCTGCGTCACTCATAGCACGTGCCTATATTGTGCGCTATATCGAACATTTTTTCTATCATTATCGATGAAGGTGTACCGTCGATAAATACCGATACTGTTTTATCGTCCAGGCCTAATTTATATATACATAATAAATATACACAATACACGGACATATATTATGTAAACAAAAACTTTTATTTTGGATGCGATTAATCATTTGACAGCACAAATTTTTATTAAGCTATGTTAACAAACAATAATAAATACTATAACAAATTAATTGCTCATTGTTAGTTAATTTTAGTTAATGCCTTAACTAATGTTAACAAACGTGAGTGTAACCAAAAAACTTACTGACTCATCTGAGTCATCAATTATGTTCAAGAAGTCCCTTTTTACTTTGCATGTGTTTTAATGCAATTTAGTTAAATATTTTTTTTTTAAACACTTAATACATTTATTTGAATAAATCATTAAAAAGAAACAGTTCCAAAAGCAACGTGTTTGTTGACCGAACATGAGCACTGACAGTATGTAAGAAATACATACCTCTAGATGGCGCCAAACATTTGATATTTAACACAAATAAAGCAACACTGTAAAAAGAGGAGTAACTGCAGGTATTGTTACTGAGAATAATCCCTGGGTTATTTATAGCCAGTCAGAACATGTTTAGCATCCTGAACTGAATGATCGCTGCATGCTTCGACTCGTCATTTTACCATCAAACACGTATGTGTAAACATGTGCAATAATGCATATGGATCTGCAAGAATTCCCAAATGTTTGTGTGCTGCTGTGACTGCAACAGTCAAGTGTATGCGACCTAAAACAGAACTAGAACATGCATTCTATGAAGCATAAGAGTAAAGAACAATATGGATTTAAAAAAATAAATCATTAAAAAAATTAAGAAAATATAAAAACTATTTAGACATAAATAAACTCACAATTTATAATATATAATAATAAAAACGCAAATATCAATATTTCTATGTAACATTTCTAATATTGTATTCATATTAAAATATTATTAAAAACTATAAAAGTATCTCAATGACACTAAAATAACACTGAGACTTACATGCATCTGCAATGATTGAACTAACCTGTGGAGCCTCATAAGGAACGAGAGCACTCTGTCGGCCCGTCACAGGATCATCCACATACTGACACAGATTACTGCCCTCCACCCGAATCAAGTGACTGGCAGGAGCTGTCTGACCTGCACAGAGTCAGCAGGACAAGAAAGATTCTGAATTAGAAGTGGAAGGACAACAGGAATGTTTCCTTTTGTGGCACATATGAACATGACCAAGTGTGGATGAGTGATTTAGCTTTATTATCCATTCAAAGTGATGTAGCTATAGAATAATAACAGATGCATTGGAGAAACAAGACCATCTCAATGTCTCGCTTCAGAAAACAAAAACATCTTTCTTTACATTTTTACTTTACTTTTAAGGCAGTAAAACACATGATTTAGTCAATTTAATATGAGTGAATGAGCTGAGGAAGTCTGACGTGCTTAATGGTTTGGATTTTCTGTCATTGTCTTGGATCTTGGCAGGTTTTTAGTTGAATTAGCTATATTTGAAGGTGGTTAGCTATATTTTGGGTAACACTTTATTTTAAAGGGGGTCATAGGATGCCCATTTTCCACAAGTTGATATGATTCTTTGGGGTCTTAATGAAAAGTCTGTAACATAGTTTGGTTAAAATTTCTCAATGGTAGTGGAAAAAACACCTTTTTTACCCTGTCCAAAACAGCTCTTTTCAGATCAAGCCGTTTTTGTAGCATTTTCCTTTAAATGTTAATGAGCTCTGCTGACCCCGCCCCTCTCTTCCGAGCCGCTCTCAGAGAGACTGTTTACTGTAGCTGCATTCATCGTGAAACTTGCTAATTAGCACATTATTAGGAAAAAAAGATTAATTACAAAACATTATACTCACTTCTTCTCTAGATGAGGCTGGATCATGAATGATTCGCGCGAACATAGACGCATTTATGTAGATCGGGGGCACATTCCCTTCAAAAACAAA